ATGATTACTTTTCCATTTTACTTACCAAGTTCCTGTACTGTTACTTGTTCAAATCCATTGTTAGTAATGAGGAAAGTACAGCAGAATAAGTTGTCAGAAAAATGTGAAGCAATAGAACATAAGCACATGAACAGATCAGTAAAGCTCCGTGGAAGGCTTAGTAACTAGTTTGCGGAAAGTTGAACAGGAGGTATCATCTCAATGTCAACAATGCCATGTTATGAGAGAGGAAATAAGAAGGGATAGGAAGGGCTTGTCCAAGTTTTAGTTGAGAGATGTAATTGGACATTGTCTCAGGTTGAGTACAAAGCCTGAACACAAATTGCTGAGGAAAGATGTCATTTTCTGGACAAGTTTTGGCAATTGGATCCTGTAGTCCCAAACCAAAGATAATGGTGTCATTATCATTGGTTTGAAACCAAAGAACAAGCTGTCAACAAGTGATCCTGACCTGTTATGGTGTGTTGGTGACATCTAGGATATTGCATACCCATATGCAAGAACCGAAGTCAAATCCAAGTTCAACCCCTGTGACTCAAGGCTGAAAATCTTCATCGCACTCGGAACCACCATCGTCGCAACCTGTTGAATCATAAGCTCCCTTAATCCACTGCCGATCAATCCCGAACTGTCAGATTCTTGTTTCGCCTCACCACTCGTCTAGACCAAAGGAATTCAGGAGGAGCTCGGTAATAACTCAAGTGGAGGTATATCCAAGTCCCATCACTGACTTGATTCCTTTCTCTATCTCTTTCTTCTTTTCCTTGTTCAATTGATTGATTTTATATTTCTCTTTCAGGCTTGTTTGTTATTTTCCTTTTTCTCCTATAAAAATTTCTCGTGTCTATCAATTGAGTCGTAGCCAGAACAAGAACATCAAAAAGGTACTTAGTGATTTCACTCTTTCTTCTCATCAAGTATTCTTGCAAGTTCATTTATTTCTTCAATTTCTTACTCAGTTCTTTATTGCCTTTTTCCTTTTGTTTATTCTATTCTCTCAGTTATCTACTACTATTAGCATTTGATTATAAGCTGCAATAAAGTATTTGACCTCAAAACTTCTACATGGTAGCGAGAGTCAATACTTGGCTATAATTCATTATAAGACTAAAGTTAGAATAACAGACAGTTTAGGAAATTCGTCAGCATGGGGAACTCGTCGGACAGCTCAGATGATGGAAAATCGTCGTGATTCTCTTTCAAAAAACTCAATTGTAACAACTGGGCAGAATGGAAGACTCGGTTCGAGAACGTCATCACCGCCAAGGGCTATGAAGACATAATGAAGGACAAATGGGTCAAAGATAACAAAGACACTTCGGAATTTCGACAAATGTCAGCCTGGTGCATGAACAAGCTGTACTCATCGGTTAAGGAAGAGTTACACCCGGTTGTCAGTGCGCATAACGGCGATATCTATGGTGTGATCCACGCTATAGGTGCTGCTTGCGGCGAGAAATCAATCATCAGTCTCTGCGATAAGCTCAACACCATAATCAACTGTACTTACTTACCAGGTTCATTGTTAGTTCAACATCTCACTACGTTTCGGAAATCACTCACTGCTCTTCAAATGTCGATCCAAGCCAATCCCAACTTCATGACGATCTCAACTGGTCTTTCAGCGGCTCTCTTATTACAAAGCTTGCATCAAGATGACGGTTTATCATCCTTGGTTCAAAGTTTGTACGACAAGAAACCTTTTACTTTTGAAAAAATCTAAGATCGCCTACTCATTGAAGATTCTCGAAAAGCAAGTGGAG